AGTTGTAGCCTATCTCAAAGCCGGACTCGTACGACGAGGACAAGGACGGAATCTTATTTCTCGGCTTTTACTCACTACCAAGCAAACAGCCATACGAAAGTGTTTGGGTAATTGAGGTTTTCAGCTAATATATATGTAAATGAAACTTTCAATGTGAATTAAGATTTAATGTATATGCATTAGGCGCTATTAGGGAATCTTCTTTTAAATCGATCACATGTTTGGGATTTTTTAAAATTCCTTTCATGTTTTGCTTATCTTTCATTTTATACGAGCTTGTAAATTACAAAATAAACGATACAGTAAGTAATACTTATTAATTATAGAAGTCGAAACTTGTCATTACTCTGTAAATCTTGACTGACACTCCTAGTAGTATAAATTTTCTTAGACCATTAAAATTCTATCGCTTACTTAGAAATAAATACTATGCAGGTATCAACAAATATATATTCATGTCCGTAAAGACATACTGATAAGTTAATAAAATGAATATCCATGAAATAATTGCAATATAAATAGATCTTTTATATTATTATCAAAACATATAATATGAGAGCCGAATAAAGTTAATAATTACGGATAACTAAGAAGAAAAAACGCACGTATATAACATAACATTTAACAAGGCACGTAATGCTTGCAAATATATACTATATGCTTATTCAACTAATATCCAAGAAAGATGAAATTAATTTAATCTATAAACTAAAATAAAGGACGACGAGTAAAAAGCATAAGCCCTTGGTTAATAAAAATAACAGCTATGAATTATTTACAAAAGCGTAAACTATGAAAAATATAATTTATACATTAAAACGTATTAAGTGATATACATACATTATTTATTAAATTATTATGTCGTTTTTATAAATTTTTAATAAAATATAATTTTGTATAATATATAAGAATTTATTAACAAAATTCTTACCAATTCTTTTTGAATTGGATATTTTAAGTTGAATCGAATTTAATTAAAATTGTTGTTATTTTGTGTAAAAGCAAATATTTATAATTATTTATTTTACCTTTTTTATACTAAATTAAACATGAAAATTAATTGAATTACGAAGAAAATGATGTTACTTAAATATAATTTGATGTGATAATAGAAGAAATTAATTAAATTCTAAATTAAATAAGATATTTTCAAGTTCTTACGACTTTGAATTTTTAATGATATAATTTCTGAAGCCTAATATATGACTAAATGATTTTTTTAATTTATTTAATGTCCATATAAAACAAACTATTTTAATTTTAAAAACTTCATTATCAGTTAATATATAGATAAAAAATTTATTTTATTTTACTTATGTTGTTTAGGCTTTAAATCAAAATTTTATTTATTTTCAACATGTCTTACTCATTTAGTTTGCAATATTCTGAAAACGATCTATGTCAATTAGTTAAACGTAAAGCCAATATATTTACAATATAAACTATTTCTCATAATTCATTCATTAATGTTAGACAAAAAAATTGTTTAAAAAAAAAAATACCGTGTAGTAGTACTCTATTTATACGTTTAAATACTTTAAAATATTTATAGGCGTAATATTAATTGATATCACTTAATAAATAAATGTTTATATCAATCACTTTGTTTTATTAATCATTGAAGTATAATTTATGTTGTGGCTCGAAAATCAGTTGTGTATTCATATTAAGGAGTAGAAGAAATCACGAACGATTTATTTTAAACATTTATTTATTTGCTATCTTGTAATAATATATATATATATGTATATATGTATATGTATATATATATAAGAAATAAAACGATATTTATATTTCAATTATAAGCAAAATGTTCTCTATTTATCAAATTCAATATATAAAGTGTTTAATTAAAGCCAAAGCGATGATAATCGATTTCATTGAAATCGTCGCTTCCATTTGGAATAAGCATACTTATGGCAAACTGTCAGAACCATATAAATACAGGATTTTCTAATTTATCAATTAATGCTTTGATTGCGTTAGCATGATCAGAAAATATATTGCTACTTGAAATCTTGGAAAAAAAAAAAATATCTATACATAATGAAAACACAAATATAAAAATGAATCCTGGACAGTTCTTTTGATCACGTATATAACTATCCTTGTTTTTAACTTGAATGCATGACTTTAAAGGACAATTTTTAACGAAACATAATAGTCTCCAACTTTATAGTAGCGAATTATTTGTTTTATATTATGGGCAAAATAAAAAAAAAAAAAAAAAAAAAAGGAAATACTTAAATAAGAAGATTGTAGCTACAGACGTCACTTCGTATATTGTATTTCTTTCGCTTTTATCGAAATTTTTATATTAAATATTTTAAATGTATCTATAAAATATTGAAATCATGATATTAATTACTTGATTAAACATTGCTTATTTGGTCATACATTATATTTTTCTTCAAACTAAAATATATTTACCGAATTTCAAGTATTAATGTTTATCTAGACATATAAATAATTATTGTAGCAACGTAAAAGATGTTTTATTTCATAAGATGTTTCCTTATTTTGCTTTATTGTATCTATAAATTATAAAAAAATACTATATACTTGTCAATGATTACCTTTCTGATACATAAACAGAACATTTTTATAATATTTTTATAAAAAATTTTTTATAAAAAGCATTCTTGACAATGTAATTTACCAATTATTAAAGGTTCAAATTGATTAAATAAATCTAGTAAATTTTATTGTTAAAAAATTCTTGAAAAATAATTTATAATAAATAGCTTATAATAAATGTATAATAAATAGAAAATATAAAAAATTACGTAATTATTAATACGATAAATTGTATATTCAATATTATGAGAATAATGAAATTCAATTTAATTGACATTAAACAAATGTGCAACTAGAATAAAAACTAAAAAATTAAGATATCAGCTTTCGATAAGAAAAAAATCAAAAATAAAATACTTAGGCATGAAGCCGAGATGAAAAAGTTGAACAGTAATATTAAAATAAATATCAAATTTAAACAATAAATTAATTAATGAAAGGAGAAAACAATATGCTACATAGATTTTATGCAAAGTGAAGTAGTTATTCTGGTATTGATAGGATAATACTTTAATACTTTATTATCAACATAAAACATATATTTCAGATTTTTTAATTTTTTTATCGAAATAAATATTATTTATAATGCCGAAGACAGTTTTAAAAATATGATATTTAGTTGTGAATTACATTTTCAATTGTAAAATAATTCTTTTTTTTTTTTTTTGTTAAACTTTATGTAAATATTTGCTCAAAGCCGCACCTATGTATGTATTAGGATAGTGTTCTAAATAAACATATAAATGTTCATGATGTATAATACCTCTTGAATGCAAAATTATTGTATAACGAAAACGTGCCAAGATTGTCAGCCACTACAAGTTAAAATTAAGAGTGAAATATAAGTCAGTGTGCAGTTTCCATTAAAACGTTAAAGGTTGCTAACAGTGCTTAAGTAAAATTTATCTACATATAAGTAAATTCTACTTACATACCTTATTTAGAAAATGTTCGGCAGAGCGAAATATGTTTTAAAGTAACTGTCACGCTTGAACCATAAGCACATTTTACATTAATATTTATTAGCCAAAATTAATATAACTCGCTCTCCAAGTTCTCAGTAAATTTTACAATCAAAAAAACAATTCTAAGCATCAATATTCTTTTCGCGGAATAAATGAAAATATCTAGTGGTCTCGAAATATTCATTATAATACTTGAGAATCAAGCGATTTTCGAAAATTCAACTGGAGATTTCGTTTAACACGATTATGTGCGGCAATGCGACTTCATTCTGGAAACTCTTTTCACCAACGTTTCGCGAAATGAACATACAGTAAAGCGAATCACGGAAAGCAAAATTCTCATTACTCCTCCATACCGATGACATAGAAATCTAATGGAAATATAGATTCACCGCAATTGAACTATCGATGCAAATAATAAAATCGAAAATCCCATACTCATTTTTTACAGGCCTTCATACGATTGATTGAAAATTCGTCGTTTTGAATTATCGATATTTTTGAACGGGGTGAATGCTAATTGAAAGACAACATATATAGCATCGATTATCGACACAGTCAGTTCGTTTCATTAATAATGCTTTATTAAACAAAAAAAAAAAAAAAAAAAAAACCTCATTGAAAAGGTTAATTGGATTACTTATATGACTTATAGGACATAATTATTATTATTTTTTTTTTTTATGCATCGTTAAAACTTATTCTTATACAATATTATACTCTTTTATTTCTTCGAAATATTTGGTATATTTTTTTTTGCCAGGCATTTGAGTATCATTGCGCTTCCTATGTAAGGGAACTTGCAATAAAATTTAACGACATTACTCAACTGCACTGCGAAATTTGTAAGCTCACTGTGAATTCAGTAGTGATGCACTATTTATTATGCGACATAAGACAATCTCGTTAGTACTCCATCTATATAAATTATATGAATGTTCTATCCTTTACATACACTTTTAACCGAATTTATTTCAATGATTGCGATGGATAATGCTTATTGTTGCTCGCAGTTACTTTATTTGAATTCATTTTTCACGCCAAACAGCATCAAAACAAAGTTATTTGCATTTTTATGATTAAAAAAATTGTAAAAAAAATTAGAGGTCCTTAAACGCCAGAAAACTGTTAAAAAAAAAATTTATTTCAAATAATCTACTGATTTAATAGATTATATTTTCTTCTTCATTTTTTTTTTTCTATTCAACTAAGTCTTCAACAAAATAATGTAAATGGCTTTGAAAGAACAGGAGTACGAGCCACGTAAGTTTAGAAAAATGCTTTTTTCCATAATTCGGATAATAAATAGCTGAGGAAATTTACGTAATAACAATACAAGAGTAAAAATTAAAGAAAACAAAAAATAGCACTGAGAGAATGACGAGCTACTTTTATATCAGAATCTGATAAACCATTCGCTCTCGCATAAACGCAGCTGTATATCTCGTCTTTTTGCAGGATATCGATTACGATGGCTTTAGAAAGTTTCTGGACACTTACCTCGACGTCACGACGCCGGATGAGTTGTCCCGTCATCTCTTCCTCTCCTTCGTCAAAAAGGGACCTCGTGGTGTCGAGGGCAAAGCTTTCAAGGTAAGGCTAATTTACGTCCCTTTTTCCATCCATACTGTTTAACCTCGTTATAAAAGGCAAAGGATTAACCTCCTTTGGAAGAGTATCTTGAATGTAAAGATCTGTTAAAACTTTATTATCATAATACCCGTTACTAATATGTATTATTATAAACTAGATATTTGGTCGATTTCTATTATCATGAACTACAAAATAATGTTAGAAATTGTATGATATTTAATTACATTCTAAAATCCTTGATAAAGTCAATTATTTATTACAATCGCTACTACGAACATTCATAAATAAAATTTTTATTTTATTAATAAAATAATTACTTAATTAGGAGGATATTTTTGTAAAGTCTGTAAAGATATATTTGATAAGTAAGCTAAAGGCTAAAAGCCATTTGACAACATAATGTTTGACTATTAAACACTTGTACATCTGTAAATAAACAATTCGAATTTCAATATAGATTAACAGCTTTATTCTATATAAAGATTTCATCGCATATCCAAATATCGCGTACCAATTGTCTAAAAGTATTTTTCTGATTATGCAATATTTAATAAACTTACAATTATTCTTTGACTAGGACAATATCATTTCTTTGAATACATTGCTTTTAACGAATGAGGTCTCATTTAAGTTCCAAATAAATTTTTACCTGATACTCTTTTCTAAAATTATATTTGTATATTATTTACGCAGGCATTTTAACAACGACAATTGCAACGAAAAATGGTTTAGTTTAATTTGCTAGATTACAATTATTTTCCAATGAAGATATTCGTAAGACGTGCAATGTCTTGGCACTGCACATTTGTACATGTCACAACAAATTTTATTTATAAAATAGCTTTTTCTACAATTGTAATAAATTGTAATAAAAGCCATTCGTTCGAATAAAATTTAAACTTATTCTTAAACTTCTTATAGCCCTGTATTCACACGTCTTTAAAAAAACAGTCCCTGGCTTCCAATGATTTTTTTCAATTTTAATGTAGCATAAAGTACAAGAATAATACTCTAGATTATTTTATATAAGAAACAATTCGATTTTTTCAAAATTTCAAAATAAAACAGACTATAAATACAGCCAGATATGTCTAACTACCCTGTCACTCAGCTGAATATTCATGAAAGATAACATTACTCGCTGTTAGAATATTATTTCGAAAAAAAATTTATAGGTAAGCAAATTAAAATAAGATTTAAACTCAAGATATTACATATTCAATTATGAAACCGCAAAGTCCTTTACTTTCATTAATTAATCTTATCATAATCTTCGTTTTTAATATCCTAAGTTTTTAAAAGAAATTAAAACCAATTGTAACTAATTTTTAAAAGATTAATTACGAGATTTTCCTTTTTAGTACTAAAGTTTAAGTGTAATATACTATTTCATATAATCACTCTCATTTTACACTTCATAAAAATGAAAAATTTTAATTGTGTAAGATGAATAAAATAAAAATTGGAAAAATATAAAAAATTATAAAATTGTACACCAAATATCTAATATTGCAACAATTTAACACAAATTAATATACGTCCTAAAAAAATGTTCACCATTCAATTTATCATAATCACTATAATAGAATAATGTAATAAATTAGCTTTGGATATTTATTTTATATATAAATATATATGGGAAATTTAACATACTCATTTAAAAATGAATATTTTAATGTTTAGTACTAAATGTACTTTAAGTAAATATACCTAATATGATATATTCTTTCTGAAAAATTGTAACTATAAAAAAAATTCAATTAAAATCATTCGTTACGTTATATTCGACATTGTATACGCAATTATTTTTCTACTTCTTTATATGCGCGTGCGTAAACTTATGTAACTATCTTTAAATAGTTATAAATGTTATAAAGAATAAAATATATGATGCGTTTGAATTAAATAATTTTCTACATTTCACTTAATAATCAATAATATTTAAGGTTGAGGAAAAATAAACTTATAAATCACAAAGCTACAAAACTAGTAGCATACAATAATTAATTTATTATCTATTAATTAAAATAATATTTTCTATTTTCGTGTAATTAAAGAGAAAATTTTTTTCGTACAAATACACTTCGATTTTCAAATTTTTCGTGAAGAGTAACAATAGCACAAAAATTGTATCTATCGATATAAATGATAGATTATGAAATTTGTACAATATGTTCATGAATTATTATTTCGACATAATAATTACAATCTGTTAATTTTTTTCTCTCTTCGTATCTGTTTATCTCTATTTTATAAAAAAATTAAAATAATAATAACCAAAATGTTAAAAATGCTGTACTTCAATGTCGATAAATGATTTATATATCAAGAATAATTTTATGTATTCGCTCTTCAAAGATATTTTATGTACACATAATAATAAGATTGGCATATTTTATACATATTTTATACAAAAACCATCGATCAATCGTAATATCAGTTTAAAAAGTTTTTGACGTTCAAAAAAAAATCTTTATAAATAGAATGAATATTTATAACTTCATCGTACTTCAAATATTTTCATAATACCAATTTTATCGTGTAAAAACTCACTTATATCATTGATTAAAATATTATCTATATACGATGTAACATGTTATTTATGAATTCATTGGAATTTTTACTAATTAAAAGAATTTTCTATTTGATTCATATCTAATGATAAATGAAGGGTAATTAAATAATCAATTAATTATTGATTTTATCATTTAATAAATCACCACAATTGCTTATATATTACTTGAAGATTTTATACACTTAATTTTAGAAAACCATAAATACATAAAATTAGGATTATTTATTAAATCATATCAATCGTTGAAAAAGATGTAATTGTACTTTCAATTAGTAATATAACAGAATGTTCAATACAACTTCAATCTTAAATCAATTAATCCGAACTTTTTCCTTTAATAGTTAAAGAAATAACTTTAATTTCTACAGATTTACAAGATACAGTAATCTCGCGATAAAAATATTTTCTTAACTTCAGCATTACAATTTTCGTCTATTAACTTTCATCACAAATCTATACAAACAGACCAACATTATACGAATATATAGTTTGATATAAAACTAATAAATAATTGTAATTTTCGAGATACTAACGTGCAAAGTAAATCCACGAAGTCATCTAATGATGAAAGTGTATAAAATTTGATTAAAAATTTAACTCAGCATAATTTTAATTGAGAAAATACATAAAGTAAATAAGTGAACTTTGAAAAGTAAATTTTTTGTATTTTAATTTACGATGTTATTAAATAATCTGTTATTAACTACTTCTGAACTTTGAAAATTAAAGTTCAAAATAACTTATAAAATTGAAACATAATATAATTGATATAATATAATATATCAAAAAATTGAAAATACCAAATATATTTCAACTCGATACAATCTAGCTTCCGAATACAAAGGAGCGTAAGCATTATTCTTATTATTACAGCACCACACAGAATAAAATCCATTATGCTCGAGTATAACTCTCAGACAGTTGTTATTGAAAATAAATACATTTATTAAAATAAATACTTTCAATGCATTCGTGTGATGCACCCTGTCAAAACGATCTTAGAACATAATGAATAATTCAGTTCTTTAAACAAGAAAAACTACTTGATTTCAAATAATAAACGAATTATAACATCATGAAATTGTCGATTATATATATTTATTTGTTATATAGACGCTCACTGCTGGTATTTAATTTTAATAAGTAAATTCATTTTGAAAATAATAGTAGGCTTAATTACACAATTTTTAACAAAAAATTGCCTTAATAATGCCAATTATTTTTAATACATAACACGGTCTTTCTTTCGTTCGAATAATAATGAAAAATGGGCTAAATAATTTGACAATTAGAAATGAATTTATTTTACCTGTAGGATTTCCTTCAGTCAGACGTTTCTCACCAATTTCAGTGCTTTATTCTTAAATTCCACAATACAACTTCTCTTTATCATCTCCATTATTATATCACCTACATCGTCTAATGCCAAGCTCATCCAAGTTGAGAATCCTTTTAAAACGTACTCCCATCGTCCTAAATAAAAGTCGAATTAATGGCCCGTAGGAGATGGCGGTGCTATCGTCGACAACGGCCTGCGCGGCGATAACGTCGCACACAACCTCCAGCAGCAACGTCAACAGTACAGGGATGGGCACAACCTCGACCGTAGCCACGGAGAGCCATGGTTCATCCCTCGCTGACAAGATACACGGGCTTACTGAGAAGCTACAGTCACTCGGACACCATAGAACCGACAGCGAGGCCTCGGCCAGGATACGCACCGGTACCTTTTGTCATCTTTCCAGTTTTTTCGGGCGTTCTCGGGTGGGTTATTCGGTAAACGGTTAATTGACGGCGAGAGAACGAGAGAGAGAGAGAGAGAGAGAGATGAGGTTATGCTCCTCTTTAGTAGACCGTCAAACGCAATGTCGTCTGTGCTCGATGAATTGAATTATCAACAGCGGTTGTTGCGTTAATGGGATCTCTCTTTGTAGTTGAACCATTAGTTGTTTTATTAAGAGCTTAGTATTCCATACGAATGATGGAGGTGAAAGATGGTTTTCTCAATGTTCGTTATGACGTTGTTCGAGAAGATTATTATCAAAACCTAACGAATCCTGCAATCCCCATGCGAATGTACGATTTACTTTTTGGGTTAATGAATAATTGCATTAAAGAGAGAATAATGAAAAATTCGCCACTCGTAATGTAATTAATAAAAGAAATTTCTCCCATTAGAATTTAAATTAACTGTTTTTATTTCGGGATGTATATTTTTAATTCAAATATAATTGGATTACGTTATATAGTGAGATTAGATTAAAATAGGATTATTTTTTAATAATCAAGATTTTGCAAGGTGTTTTAAATCTAAAGCGAGCTAATCGCGAGAGCAAATGAATAATATAATATAATTTTAGCAAAATAATGAGAAATGATAAAAAAAATTTTTACCAGGTTCAGAATTAACATCATAATATAAAAATAATATTAATCAATTCAAAAAGGATTAAAATTTTACTCTTTTCATTTTATAACAGCTCAACTAATAAACTTTAATTTATTGCATTAATATATAATTATACGAGCTTTTTATAAGCGGGTATAATAATACGTATTTAATAATAATCATTTGAGAAATTTTAAGTAAAAGTTTAAAAAGTATGTGAATACGTTTGCATAAATACATTTCGTTGGATAAAAAAGTAATATTTATCTAAATTAATTGAAAAGTTTAATGTCTCAGTCACTATTTATACATCATTATTTTATATGTTACATTTAACTATTTCTTGGAATATATTCCTATTTTTTAAACATTTACGTTTGTGTAGAATTAAGAAGTTTTGTTAGTATTAAGAAATATTTGCAAAATTAAATTTACTTGATTTTCGTCTTCCAATGGTATACTCATTAGATTATTTATTATAAGATATTATAAGAATTAATTAAAAGATTTGATAAATTTCTAATTTGTATTCACATGATTATTAATAATATCTTTTAGTATTAAACGTTTTATCATAATAATTTTATAGCGCAGTATTTCATAACAAGTATATTTCATTACAATAATTAACTTGATTTTGATCGTTACTTTTTTTCTTTAATTCCAATATTAATTTGCATTTAATGGAGTACAATTTGAAAGGCCGATTTTCCAATTGTGTACTTTTTAAAATACAATGTCATTAATGTACGTATAAACTTAAATAAATAAGCCAAGAGGAAATTAATACAAAATTTATTATGTGATAAATTTGACTGCAATGTGCCAAATTGTTTAAAATTACTACTTTATTCCACTTAATAATAGTTTGAATTTGAAATGATAATTTTTTAGCACAATATGTTTTAACGTTTACTGTTTGAGAGAGAAATTAAAAACAAAAAGAAAAAATAATTAAAGTCCTAATAATATATGTTATTTTAATTTGTAGCTGAAACATAATACACACAAAGATATATCTAAATGTAGATAAGATATTATTCCATTTCATTTGATAATCCTAATTTTTATTAATTATTTATCAATTAGCCATTAGTTTAAAGCAGTGATATAGTAAAGTTTGATCTTCTAAAATTTCGTCTCTGAGAATAATTGAATAAAAATTAAATTGATAACTATGATATGTCAATCTATATGATTGTGAAACATTTTGAAACGTTGAATTTGTAATTTCGATAAACGTATGAAATTGATATTTAAAGATTTAATGCGTGTAAAAATTATGTATAATTTTTAGGTAATTAGTGGTCTTTGGCATATATTGGGATTCACATAAAGCGCTAAGAAACAATTCGTAGACTATATTTGTTAAAAAGCGGGAAAAGTTAGAACTAATTGAATTACATGACGTCGTTAAGGAAAGAGCGTAGCTGCAAAGCTTGCAGCACGTGGATCATAATTTTTATACCCAACCAAAGAGAATTTTGGATAGAATAGAGACGAGTACAATGAGAAATTCGCTTTATCGAACGCAGTGGCAAAGAAAGGCGAGGCAAAATCACAGCATCGCGTATAAGCCTGTGATATATTTATATATGTTCGTAACAGATCTTGCATTGCAGGAAGTGTCCATCCGATGCTCGTAGTGACGCACACGTCCTACAGTTGCCACGACGTCCTGGAGAAGAAAAGCACCGACAGCAGCCCCAGCCACAGCCAGATGTCGCGCAATTCATCGAGAAAGTCCAATAATTCTCTGCTCGTTAACAACGGGAAATTGGAAGGTAAGCTACTGACGATCGCCTTGAAATAGCTTTAAATGAGTAGAGGCATTCGACTTCCGAGCGCGGAGGGAAAAACCAGTGAAATCGTTAATGAAAAATCAATTTTTCAATAATCGGGGAGCGGAACGGTGGGTGGTTTTCTTCTTTTGATACGCGGGTTTTTCGGCTCGAATAATACACGGATTCCCTGTAAGTCTCCCAACATTATGCCAATAGAATTCAGAGGATAGCTGTTCACTTCCCTTCCTATCTTTCTTCATTCTATTACTTTATCTAATTTCATCTGGAAGAGGAGTGAATTTTTTTAAATTTAATAATTATAAGCGCGTTACAATAATTGTTTTTAAGTAGAATTGCAGTTCACTCGGACAAAATATTATCTCTGTAGTGAATTGTAAATATAATGATTGAAATATGTATGATATTATTCGACAATGCGCTGAGGAAAATTCATAAAAACGAAATATTATGACGAGAGCATATTGTAAAATATCTCATTCAACTTCTACGTCTGCTATATTCTAAAAATTATCCATTGTAAAACATTATTTTAAGATATTCGAGTCAATGCTAAGATGGAGATTGTACCAGTAAAATAAATAATGGACAGAATCTCGACTTTATATGGCATTTCACTAAAATATAAAAAAAAGTATCATGTATATACTTTATAAGAAATATAAATATTAAAGCAAAAAAAAAAAAAAAAAAAAAAAAAAAAAAAAAAAAAAAAAAAATTAATAAGAATATATAATTACCTTTAGTGTCTTAACATCTTAAATATTATATATATATGTATATTAATATTTAACGGTAAATATTAGCAATTTAAATATTTAATATAATCCCTGTAACAAATACTTTATACTATGAGATTTTGCATGAATATGATTTACACTATTTTAAGTACAAATAAAAATTTCTTATCGTCTTCTATTCTTTCTCTTAACAAATAACATTATCAATTGGCAAAAGTATGATAAAAGCTACGCAAAAAGTAACAACCTCTTATGCATCCCTATCCAAGGTATCATATAGGCAAAGCTCATCAAAAGTGTTAACATATCGCCCACTATACATAAGAGTCAAATAGAAAGTCGTATTGGAGCATAATTCACACTCCACTTTAACGTTCTTTTTCAATTTACTTTCCGCTCGAAGGACTAAATTTCTGATTGAAATATTTTGAAATATTATACTACATTCAGTGATAAAACTTTCCAATATTCATTTTTCAGGTAAGAACACGGTATCCTCTGGGTATCTCCCTATAGAACATTGTATGGTAAATCATATAAATCACAGCTGCACCGAGAAAGAAGTTTAAAAGGTGCATATAACAATGATCGATCGTGTATATTACAAATGTCGATCGTCAAGTTATACTAATATAGTACATATTTGTTTAAGAGGTGACAAAATTACACTCTACTAATACCAAATTCTCTGTCAACTGCGCAATATTAACTAATCCGTATAAACGACAATTTCTTGAGTAATTATTCGGCAAGTGTATCCGTACTCCTACTCACCCTGTTCCAATAAAATCGCAGTATACTACAACCAATGCCACAAATGAACATCAAACAGATACGTCAAAGTCGTAAAACGAAATATAGCATATAAGATGTTATCTCTTACGCTCTATTGAAGCTTTAACGTCGGCTCCGATCGGAATTGCCGGCATTCACCACCACCACCACCACCCCCGAATATTGAAGGGGTAAGACTACAAGAAACGCCACCTGTCTTCGAAAATGCAAATAATGGTTGGGAGCGAAATCACTCTAGCGAACTATCGAGCAGCAAATGGTGTAATTCAATTTGTCTCTGCTTATGCCCTTGTCCCGGGTGCTTGTGTAAGTGCGGAAAATTTGCACGCTTCTGGCTGAGAAAATTACGAAGGGTATTTTCGATTAGGGTAATTCGTTTTACTCGTTATCTGCTTTTATAGGCTTGACAGGCGACCATGAATTCTCTTTCTAGATGAAGCTCTCGTGCATTTAAGTGGCAATATTTGCATCGATGCAGTTTATATTATTATTCTTCTTTCCCTCCGACGCAAGCGATTTGATAAATTTTATTTTCTTTATTTATCGACAAATAAAATGAATGATAATTTACGTGTGAATTATTTAAGTAAAAACCGTTTCTCAACGATCATGACACTAGATTTATGAATACAACTTTTTGCTTTATTAAAGAAGTTGAATTTAATTGTAAATAAAATTAGACAAAGAATTTTTAATACAATCACATATTCAATGTATTTTTATAGAACCTTTTATAAGAAAAAAAAACAAAACAAAACAAAACAAAACAAAAAAAAACAAAAAACAAGATATTAATTCCACTTTTAGAAATCAATCGGTATAAAATGAAAATAATTGGAATAAAATAATCAATAAAATATAAAAGAAAAATTTAATCTAAACGCGTAAAAATTTAATACCATCATCTATAATATAGAGTATATTTCTAGATGAATGTTTAGTAAATTTAATACATGCATTTTGACTGTAATAATCTTACTATGTAATATAAATTCAAAAACTTGTTTATATATATATATATATATATAAATGATCTTAATTATAATGAAATGTTAGTTCATTTATAAAAATTATGAATTATGCATATAATGTCACAGAAAGCAGACTCCTGGTATTTTTTACAGATAAAGCAACGTCTATATATTCATTTTCATGTTACTAATGCTTTACTTGATCAGCGGAAATGTAGCGAAACAACAGACGAAGAAAAAAAATAATCAAGAGATTCCTTTCACTCATTGACGAAGGGAAGATTTATCCCGTATAGAAAGAAAAAAAAACTAACCCTCGAAACAGGGAAAGGAAAAAAATTAAGTTTCCGAAAGTAGAATCATCATGCGATTAAGAGGAACGACATCAAAAAGTACTGTCAAATAATTATTTCCTATTACAAGAAATAAAATAAAATAACGAACATGCATATGTATAAACAAAAAATGTTTTATACTTCAAATAAATGATTATATCTTTATCGTAGTAAACAGTCTCCAAAAAATTGTAGAATATAAAAAATAAATAATTTTCTTAAAATATGTCGAATAATAAAATTAATTATAAATTTCAAATTAATAATAAAAAAATTGTGTTAAATATAATTAAACATTGAAAGAATTCTTTATGATAAATGGTGTACAAAATTTTATCCACAGTAATATTTAATAATTTAAATCTTTTAATTAATTTAGTTGATACATAATTCAATAGAGGTAATTTATGCAGCAGCACTAATAGTTTTATATTTTTTTTTTCTATTAATTTCCATTTAAAATCCAAAAATACATTGATAATGAATTATTCGTATTATCTACGACCAAGCATTCTGTTTCCTCATTTTGTCGCAAACGAAGTTCAACCATATATGGAATTGAGCTCATTTTGAAATTTTTTGCATCATTCACATATATTTATAAGCTTGCCACAGAATACTTCTTCTCATTTATAAACAGATAGATAGAAATAAACAAAAAGAAAATATCGGATTCAGGCACATTTAATGGCAACTAAATCGAGAGTGACGAAGCTTTTTGTACCCTATCATTCTTGGCTTATGCTCTACTACTTTATTCAGCCTTGCTCGCCATTACTTCCCTTTTCCTTTATCCAAAGCCTGTTTACCCAGTTTTTCTCTCAACTACACAAACGCACACAATTTTTTCGTTCGCATAAATAACTTTTTTTTTTTCTATGAGTACATCGAGCTCGAAATATTTACTTTGACATATTTATCTGACGGGCTACTTTTACATAGAAGCTACTTTCAGACATATTCCATGGGAAACTTAATATCCTTCAAAGATCCTTAATCCTTAAATTTCTTTTATTTTCAAACTCTTACTTTCTCATTATACACAAAGTAGTTTTTGACTTTATTTTAAAATTCGCTTTTCGATCCTGAATTTAATATTAAAAAAAAAAAAAAAAAAAAAAAGAAAAAGAAAAAAAAAGAAAAAAATGTCCTTAGACAGGTTTCATTACTTCGAATCGTTCGTATAAAGTATTCTTACTTTCAACTATTCTTAAAATTTCAGTCACATAGTGTATTTAGATTATATAGAGCTTACACGGATCCAGCTATTCAAATTTTATTATAATTCACAAACTTAAACATTATTTAATACTATTATATGAGAAAAATTGTACTAAATTTCTTAAGAACTTTTAGTTCTGAAACCAATTATTATATTGAATAATATTAAATTCAACATTATTAACATCCATTCGAAAACTCGAAAAAAACTAACAATTAATAATTAATTAACTCAAAAATTGTTTTTCCCCTAGTAAATGCTATTTTCTCTTTTCTAATTTTACATTGTTATAAAAAAATTCTTTATACTATAAAATTAACATTTTTAAATATGAGTTTATCTTATCTTAAAAATGTTTCAATTTATTTGAAAAAAAAAGTTAAATATTAATAAAATAGAAATTAATAATAACGAATACAATTACGAATACATATGGCTAATTGATATCTATTGTTTATTAAGAAAATTGGTAAAATTTATTATTTACAATAAATTTTTTGAAATTATATTAAAATTATGATTGTATATTATTACAATTATTATTAAATTATTATTACATTATTATTATGTATTAAATAGATTACAACATTGTTTTTATACCGAGAAAGATATAATTTAATAACAAAGTTTTTATGAATATAATTTAGTATATAGGAATTTAAAAAATTATATACCTCAAGATCTAAAATTATCTTCATTTTATTTATACATTACTACTACAACATTTCAAAGCACTAAAAAAATTATTGGCATGTAATTTATATTTATAGAAAATGTAATATTTAGTAGTAAAAAGATATTTATCAATTTTATAAATTTATCATAAATTTAATCGTAAAATTATATTAATGAAAACATTATAGAGTAATTTTCTATTTTGCTATTAATTTATTAATGAAAGTAAAATGTTAGAAAACTC